TTTTGAACAATTCAAATTTTGAATTTCAGAAAATGACAACTTCAAACCTGATTTTCAAACACTAAATGATTTCAGCTGTAAAAGTAATGAATATAAAAGTTGTATAACTCGTCAAGACCTCCTACTTTTATTTTGGTCATTTCTTCATTTCATAAAGTGTTAAGTGATTTCATAAAGTTTTAGTAATTATAGAGTAGATGTTCAAATAGATTCATCTAGATGTTGCAAAGGGTAGTCTCACACACATGCATAAATGTAGTCTCACACACATATAAAAATATGTAGTCTTACACACATACATAAATATATAGTCTCACACGCATGCATAAATGAAGTCTTACAAACACACACTTACACAAACACTCCACGTTCAACAACTAGCTAGCCCGCTGTAACGACTTTCCCCTTGACACCTTTTCGTTCCTATGGCAATATGTCTTTGGGTAGGTTCTTTTCTACAACACTGATCTTCTTAGGAAAGTCTGTGAATAGCGGCATCTCATCGTAGTTATTGTAAGCTTTAACATCGCCATCAACTCCAATAATGTACTATTTCCCGGAGGCAACCACGTCTTTGTCTTCTTCTTCTTCAGGGGAAGGTTACTTTGTGGGTCAGACATATAGAAAACTTGTGTGACACGTGAAGCGAGCACCCAAGGGTCATCTTGGTAGCCTAGATTCTCAAGGTCTAGGACTCTCAATCCGATCTCATTCAGTTGGTGTTGTTTGATCCAACAGCATCGAAACAGGGCCACCGTTATATCCCTTCCATAGTCAAGTTTCCATATCTCTTCAATGATGCCAAAGTATTGGATCTTTCACCCCAATCCATCGAGAGCCTCTATTCGAACGCCGCTGTTTTGGTTCACATATTTACTATCCTTTGCGTGGGTATAGTACGTATACCCATTGATGTCATAAGCATTCTAAGATGTCACCTGTCTCGATGGCCCCTCCGCCAACCTACTGATGGTAATAGAGTCTATGGTTTCTCCAGGCAGTATGTTTTGGTCCTTCAACCATGTAGTTAGTCATTGCTTATGCTGTTTCATGACCCAATCATCTGAACGACCATTTTTCTCCGCCATAATGATAGCCAAGTGTTCATCAATGTACGGTTGCATCAGTTGTGTACTCTGCAAGACACTGTAATGCGCTCGACTCACCTCTTTGTAATCATGGTCGATAAACACTTTTGTACCACTGGTGCCCTTCCTAGCCAGCCTACCCTTGTGACGAGAATCCGGTTTACCAATCCCTTTCTGTACTTTTAGGTACTCTTGACAGCACTCGACGACTTCTTCAGTACTGTAACCCTCTATTATGGAGCCCTCTGGGTATGCTTGATTATGCACATGTCGACTTAGAACCGACATGAACCGCTCATAGGACCACATTTCAAGCAAGTAGCAAGGGCCCAACGCCTGTATCTGATGAACCATGTGATTCATGAGATGTGGCATTGTATCAAAAAAAAGTAGGAGGTAAACACATCTCTAGTTGGTTTTGTGTCTCCACCACAAATTCATGTAGGTCACTCAGCTCTTGCTTGCCAATCATCTTCTGTGAGATCTTCGAAAAGGAGTAGCACATGCGGGTGATGGCCATTTTCAAGAACTCTAGCCTTATAGGCCTGATTGCAATAGGTAGAAACAATGTCAGCATCACATGACAATTGTGAGCCTTGCAGTGTGTTATTGACAAGTCCTTCATCGACACTAGCTTCTTCACATTTGCTGAAAACCCAGTTGGGTCTTTGATCCCTCTCAGGAAAGTGCATATAGCTCTTTTCTAGTCTGGTGTTAGGTTGAAGCACGCCGCGGGTAGAGTGTATTTTCCTTTAGACTCAGGTACAGGGTGAAGCTATGGCATCATGTTTAGCTGCACCATGTCTTTCCGTGCTTTTAGACCATCCTTTGACTTGCATGTGTCCATCAAGGTAGCAATGAGACTCTCAAAGACATTCTTCTACACGTGCATAGCATCAATGGCATGGGGGACCTCAAAGTCTGGCCAATAAGGCAGATACTGAAAGAAGATCGATTGTTTCTTGAAAGGTACGCCTTCGACAAGAGGTGTGCTTCTATCTCTGTTCGTCCCATCCGGATTCTTCTTTCCATAGATGACGCGTATGTTTTTCACCATTCTGTACATGTGTTCTCCATTATGACGTCTCTCCGGAGGGGGTTCAATCTCATGGGTGTTGTCATAAAATCTAAAGAACAATTTGCTGCGGTACTTGTGACTTGTCTTTAAGAAGCGTCGGTTCCTTAGGTAAACTATCTTCTTGGATGCATCCAGGTACACTCATGTAATACCATCCAAGTAAACCAAGCATCCCGTCTTTCCTTTGATCTGTCCAGACAAAGCAAACATCGCGGGGTAAGCATTGGTAGTAACAAATATTATTGCTCTACATATGAAGTCCTCCTTTCGGAATGCATCGTACATCTGCTCCCCATGCCTCCATAGCCTCTCCATTTCTTTCATCAAAGGCTCGAGGAACATGTCTATATCAATGCATGGTCGTTAGGGCCAGAAATAAGAATAGTGAGGAGAAGGTACTTTCTCTTCTGACACAACCATGTTGGGATGTTGTACATGGTCAAGGTCACTGGCCATGTGCTATGGTCGCTCATCCTCTCATTGAAGGGATTCATTCCATCGGTGCTCAAGCCAAACCGTACATTCCTTGGGTCATCACTGAATTCTTTGTGCTTCTTATCAAACCTTTGCCACTGACTACAATCAGCCAGGTGTGCAATCTTATCATCATCCACCTTGCGCTCATCATCCCACCATGTCATGAGTGCAGCTTCTTTAGGGTTTAGGAAGATACGTCTCAAGCGGTCAGTCACTAGCAGGTACCACATTACCAAGGTAGGAATTCTTCTCTGCTTTGCATCGTTGCCTAATGGAGTGTCCTCTGGGGGCTGAGATTCTTGTACCACCTTTTTTGTACCCTTCTTATTCCTCTTTTTCCCCGTGGAGGCTTCGTCCCCACCATAAAGGTCATTGTTCTTGTACCGGCTGGCCCCACACCGGGGACATTTATCTAGTGACTTGAACATTTTGCCATAAAAAAGTATACAGTGGTTGGGGCATGCATGGATTTTTTCAACCCCCATTGTCAATGGACTTATGACCTTCTTCTCTTGGTATGTGTTGGCGGGACTGAGTTTGGTTGTGGCAGCACCCATGACAGGAGATGCAATAGATCATTAAAACTACAGTCTGACCAGCCGTACTTAGCCTTCAGGATGAGCAGCTCAAGCACAAAACGTAGCAATGTCCAATGTGTCGGACAACCCTTTTCAACACCATACATAATCTCCTTCAATGCTTTTGCCACCCTTTTCAAATTTTCTAGACCTTTCGGGCTATTTAGTAAAATCTCTGGTCTAAGGGCTCGAATCATGTCCTCCAAATCATCTTCATCCCCGACACATGCTCCACCATCATTATTGGCACCACCTTCGTCGTTACCATCCCAACCACTAGCATCACCACCTTGTTCATTACCAAACTCGAAATCCATTCATGCATCAAGCTCTGCTAAATATTGGGACAGGGATTCTATGGTTTCGTCATCGTATTCCTCCTCATCCTCGTCGTTAACAATAACCGTTTCACCATGATGAATCCACACTGTGTAGTCCTCAATAAATCCTCGCATGATCAAATGTGATCTGATGATAGTCACAGATGTCTATGTCATACGGTTCTTGCAATCTTTACTGGGGCAAATAATTGTATCCTTATTCTCTTTCAATGTCGTTGCATGCTTCTTTGCGACTTCAATAAATTTATCCACCTCTTCACGAAAACTTTACTTGAACCTTAACGAACCATACATCGAAGAGTTCTTGTACTCCATCTTTTACAACAACAACAAAACAAACATTAAAGGACTACTTATTCAGATATATATAAAAATAAATCAAATTAATAATTACTTGAGAATAATTGTATATACTTCAGATATATATGAATATAAATCTAATATAATTACATGAAGCATACAAACACACCATGGTAGAGGAAAATTAATTAATGACCCATTTATCCATAAATAATTAAAATACATATTTATTGATTACAATAAACAATTTCAAAGACAACAATTAGCAACAATTATACTTTACCTAATATCTTTCATACAAACTCTAGTCCAATTTTATCAAACATAAATTTACAAAAATAAAATTAATAAAAAAACCAAACCCTAGATCTAGATCTACATGCACATGAAACATGCATAAAACTCACTAATTGTTCACTAAAATTAAGAAACATGGACCAAATAAAGGTATGATCTTGTTCCCCTCCCTAATTTACCCTAGTACATTTAAAACTTGGGTCTAATTTGCTTCATAAGTAGCTCAAGCACCATAGAAGAGAGAGAAAAACAAAACTCTAATTACTCACTAATCAATCATTAAAACTTCAAAAAAAGTGTGGAATATCATTTTCTTACCTTCTACAACCTCTCCACCAAATGATTTGAGACCAAAACCTTCCCCCTTAGTAGAGCAATTTTTGGGAGGTGCTCAATGCCTCCCCACCTTTCTTTCTCAGGTTGGAGTGAGTGACCCGAGAAGAAAGAAGGTGGTGCAGCTGTTTTATATGTGGGTTATTTATAGGGCCGGCTGGTGATTGAGCCGCCCCTATAAATCGGAGCTATATATACGGGGGCATTTGTAGGGGCGGCTCAATCACCAGCCGCCCCTACAAATACCAACTCCAGAGGCAGCTGGTGATTGAGCCGCCCCTACAAATCAGACCGCATTTGTAGGGGCGGCTCATATCACCAGTCGCCCTTGCTGTTCCATTTATAGGGGCGGTTGGTGTCTGGGCACCCGAGCATGCCACTGTAGGGGTGGCTCCATCACCAGTCGCCCCTACAAAAAATTCGAACTGTTGCTAAAAATTGTTTTTTACGTAGTGCCGGTGAGCTGGTGAAGCAAAGGGAGGACACCCGGAAGGCGGGCCTGCTCTTCATGAATGCTGCCGATAGGTACCAAGAAGAAGCCAAGAAGCATATTAGGGCAAAGGTAGAGGAATTGGCGAACACGAGGAAGGCAGGTCTGATGCTAATGGACACTACTGATACTTACCAAGAAGCGGCAAGGAAGCAAATTAAGGAGAAGGCGGAGGAGCTGGAGGACGTGAGGAAGGCGGTTGTGGTGCTGATGAAAGCAGCCAATGCGTACCAGCAAGAAGCGAAGAAGCAAATTAGGGATAAGGTGGAGGAGCTGAAGGTCATGGGGGCGCAGAAGGTGGAGCTGGATGCGAGGGTAGAATCTTTGGAGTCAGAGCTCAGGGCAGCTATGGCAAAGAACCAGGAATTGGAGGATGATTATGCTAAGGTGAAGGTTGAAAATGATAAGCTTCGATTGGAGGTTGAGAGGTTCATGATGGAATTAGGAGCATTGGCGGAGGAGGAAGATGCAGCAACAAAGGCATTTGACATTGAGAAGGAAGAAATCTTGATGGAATTGGAGGACTCTAAGATCGTGAAGGTGGAGGTAACTCAAGACAACAAGAATTTGATGAAGTGTGAAAATGATAAGCTTCAGTTGGACGCTTTTGATAGCGGAGCTTAAGCGGGAATATAGCTTGCTGGAAAGCAGGGGCTGAGATGCTCAACATGTAATTAGATTGAGTTAAATGCACCAGAGATCCATTAACTTGTGAGGATAATTCAGTTAGGTCCATCAACTTTCAAAGTGACTTTTTGGGTCCATAAACTTTAATGTTGTATCACTTAGATCCATATCCCTCCACGTAGGCTTCTCGTGCTGACGTGGCCTGACTTGTCGTTCAGAAGCAACTATTGACCGTTCATTTCGTCAAACACGCACGCAAGCAGGTGCCGCTGCCGCTGTCGCGGCCACACAGGTGTGCGAGCGGCCGGCTGCCCCCGTCCACCGACTCCTCCTCGCGGCACCTGCGCTCCTACGGCGCGGATGAGGCGGCGGCCTCGGCCATGGCCGCGCGGTCATCCTACGAGCACGCGGTCCATCACGGGGGCGGCGTCCCCCATGGCAGCCCCCAGCGCCGGCGTGAGCTCGGCCGGCAGCCACCAGCTGTGGGCGCGAGAGCAGGTGAGCGAGGGGACGTGGAGAAGACGCTGGATGAAGCCGACGCGTTGGTGGAGGTGTCGCGGTGGCAGCGCCACTCCATCTACCGCGTGCCGGCGTGCATCAAGGACCTGAACCGCAAAAAGCGGGCGATTCTTTACCCGAACCGCAGCATCGCTCGCCGCCAGCCTCCGCTGCTGGCCCGGGCATGAGCCGGCTCTACTTGACCGTTGCCGATGATAGCCTGAGCGCCTACGTCGACGCCAAGCCGCCGCAGCGGTACTACCACCTAGGATTCAGCAAGGCCACCGGTGTCGGTGGAGCCATGCCTGCACTCGCCTCCGATGTGAAGGTGCACAAGGCCAGCAAGGGCGCGCTCGAGTGCGCAGTCTGCCTCAGTGAGTTCGACGACGATGAGACGCTGCGCCTGCTGCCCAAGTGCTACCACGTCTTCCACCCAGACTGCATCGACACGTGGCTCGCCTCGCACGCCACCTACCCCGTCTGCCGCGCCAACCTCGCCGTGGGGAAGTTCCTGAACCGCGCCGAGTCCAAGTCCACGATGGGCGCACGCGGGGACGTGGCGTGGGCGGAGTGCAGCGATGCGGTGGGCGCGGCGATGCAAGCGGACGTGATGCACAGCGTGGTGCCGCAGGCGGAGTCACTACTGCGGCGCACCCAGCGTGCTTCTTGTATGCGAGCATCTGCGACCTGACGGGGCGGCGTCGTCCCGCGGAGGCATGGCTTCGCCGGTGTCGCTGGGCGCACTGCTGGCGTGTTCTCGACGCCAGCGCGTCGTGTGGTGGCGACGGAGGACGCTTCGAGCTCGCGGGTACGTCGGCGATGGTATTGGCGCGGCGACGTCGTGGTGTATGGCGCTGTCCACTTTGGTGCCGCGAGACACCGGTCGCGCTGTGCAGAGATGGCTAACGCGCAAGAGGCGGAACTGGCATGGCCGGCGCGCGCCACGCACCGAGGAATGGGCACACGGCTGAGGCGCACTAAAGCGCTCTGCCTCGTGGCGCCTCGCGTCATTAGCGGCGCTGTGGGCGCGGAAGCCGGCGAGGGCTGCTGCTGCTGCCTTTGGGAGACCACGGGGCGCCCGCGAGGGGGGGGGTTGCAAGGCGGGATCTAGGAAAGGCCGGGTTGCGGCAGCTCGCGCGCATGGCCATGGCGTCCGTGTTCCACGGTCTGAGGCACGGCTTTGGAGGAAGAGATCATGAGCAAGGACGGGAAAGCAAAAGAAGTCTTGTTTCCCGTTGGTCGGGACAAAGCGCGGCAGACACGGTAGCGTGCAGCAACGAATGACGAGCGGCAAAGCGTAAGGCGCAACCTGACAACCGCAAGCAACAAGGACACGAGCGGGCGACGCACGAGCATGGCAAAGACGGGCGCTCGGGCGCGGAGGAACAATGCGGGCGGCCACCGCTCTGCGACCCGACGACCGCTTCTTCTTGGATCCTCCCGGAAGCCATGGGCCGCGTCCTTGGCCTTGTTCCGCTGGTGGCTGCCGTGGGGGACGCCGCCCCCGTGACGGACCGCGCGCTCGTAGGATGACCGCGCGGCCATGGCCGAGGCCGCCGCCTCGTCCGCGCCGCAGGAGCCCAGGTGCCGCGGGGAGGAGTCGGTGGACGGGGGCAGCCGGCCGCTCGCATGCCCGTGTGGCCGCGGCACCTGCTTGCGTGCGTGTTTGACGAAACGAACAGTCAACAGTTGCTTCTAAACGACAAGTCAGCAGGCCACGTCAGCACGAGAAGCCTACGTGAAGGGATATGGATCTAAGTGATACAACATTAAAGTTTATGGACCCAAAAAGTCACTTTGAAAGTTAATGGACCTAACTAAAACATACTCACAAGTTAATGGATCTCTGGTGCATTTAACTCAATTAGATTCTTCATTGCCTCAAGCAAAGGATGTTGATCATGAGGCAATAAGGATGCCTCAAGGGGAAACTGGAGGACTTCCAAGCCATCAAGCATTTGGTGAAGGGTGAAAATGGCAGCTTTGAATCCTTTGATCGAAGGGTTTGATAACAGAGCTTAATCATAACCTGTCAGAAGTAGAGGCTTAGGAAGAATATTTTGCTGATACTTTTCCCTTAAGAACATTCACATCCTCTTTTTAGAAGAAAAATATTACAAAATTGGTGTTGGAAATGGGTTTACACATTTGATAACTAAATAATAATTGTGAGATTACTTATCAATATACACGGAGCACATTTATCTATCAAGCTCTTTTACGGTGAATGGAGAAAAGAAGATAATACTTTTACGGGTCCGGAGACGAAGAAGCGCAGGATAGATCGGGCGGACCAAGCAGGCGGTGGTCGCGACGATCGCCGTGAGCGCAGGGCTACTGTTGTGCCGCCATCTTGGCCTTGCCCGCCGCCGCCGCGGAGCATGAGGGCACGGCCGCCTCGAGGTCGCAGGCTGATGGGAGGACAATTGGCGGCGCTTGGTTGGAAACAGACGGATCACGCATAGGAAAGGAACTCGAAGGTGGGTACAGGCGGGCGGGTAGGAAATTCGATCGGTGAAAAAAAAACGCAGCTCGGAGCGTCCACCACGCATAAAAATTGGTGTTGGAAATGGGTTTACACATTCGATAACTAAACAATAATTGTGAGATTACAGTACGTTACCATACAATTTTTGTTGACACTTACATTTTCAGAAAGCAACAAAAATTATATTGGACGTTGACAGGCGGATCTGGTTTTCGTAGCGGAACCGGATAGAACATGATGTGGACGTGTTCTGGTCGGATATGTTTTTTTTCCTTCTCTTTTTTCCTTTCTTAATTGTTTTTTCAATATTTTATTTCTATATACTCTCCTCCACCCCATCCACCGTACGCGCCTTAGGCCATGTTCAATTCACAGACAGGGGTCATCGGTTAGAGCATCGAATCTATCACAGAAATAATCTAGGTTTTGTTTGGCAGAGCTTTACTTCACTAGTGAAACCATTTCTTTTTTTGCTTCAGCTCCACGAACAGCTCCACCAATAGAGCTGAAGCGGTTTTGATAAACCATTTGGTAAAATGGCTTCCCTGTGAGAGCATGTTTTTAGGGGCCTGGAGGAGGAGCCGGGAGAAGCCACTATTTTTGGCTCTTTTCCACCCCAAAGCTCTGTGAGAGCACGTTTTTAGGGGCTTCATCGATGGAGCCGTTTTATTTTAACCTGTTTGGCAGAAAACGGCTCTAAACGGCTTCTGAAGCCGCTAGAGAAGCCCTGCCAAACGGGACTAAAAGAGAGGTAATACAATCCATAGTCTGTTCACTGTTTACAAGTTGTTTGATGCTTTGTACGTAACTAATAAGATCAACTGTGAATAATGTTTTGTATAAGATTGTGTTTCTATTTGATACGGAATCAAACATAAATATGATAACATAATTACAATTTTTTAAAACCATCAATATAAAATATACACTGCGACATTTTTTTTCTAATTACGCGTACACGGCTGCATATTCACAGAAAAAAAGTTATGACCACTCACAATCACAGTACGAATAAACAAAGGCTGAAATGTTCTATCGTCCTCGTCCACTAATTTCTTTATCCTTTCTCGCGTGGTTATTATCATCTTTCTGTGCTTGACATCGTCGTTCTCGCCAATGGTAGCTGTTGGTCCGGTCCACATCGACGAGCAGTAGATGAGTGTATGCTTGCTCGCCCAAGCGCCACACGCAGTGCCGGGGCGGAGGTCGCCCGCGTGCGTGCAGCTCGCGGGCTCGCGGCCGCCGGTGGAGCTTGCCCACGCAGCTCGCGGCGGCTGGGGAGAAGCTCGCCCACGTGCAGTCTGCGGCGAGCGGGAGAGCTCGCTTGCGCATCTCGCCGGGCCGGGGCGGAGGTCGTCCCTCTCCTCCGACCTCCGTGGCAAACCTACGGCCACGGCGGCTGCATACCAAGGCCGTCCCATTCCCATCCATCGCCACCGCCATTGCGGCAGTGCTGAGCTCGGATGCGCAGAGTGGCGGCACGGAGAGCTCGTGGCGGCGGTTGGAGAGCGCGCGATTTTAGCGCGCTTCTTCCTTCTCACGCATGCCGCAGCCAGATCCCGCTGCCTCGCCTGGAGACAACGACGACAGGTAGAACGCAGGCTCGGTCGGCGACTAAGCCTCGTGCACGAGCCCAGCTCGTCGCCTCACGAAACGGTGGGCCGGCACATAAGCAGGATATAGAATCCCTTCACTGTTGGGCCTATGATCCACACGATTTGGCTGGCCCAACACACGAAGCCTAATTTGTCTTTTTATTATTCGACCGCTGGATGTGGTCGAGTCCTAGATAAAGTTAGTGGGACCAGACCGGAGATTGAACCAGCGAGGTCATCGGTTCACTAGTCCAACCGTTTAGAACCGGTTGAACCGCCGGTTCAATTATTTTGGACCGACAAATTGAACCGGTCACAGTTATTTTGAACCGAATATATATATATATATATATATATATATATATATTTGTTATAATTAATAATTGATAGATGATAAATAAACAACACAAATTTAA